AAAAAAAAAATAGGATTGTGCAACCTACAAAACTCTTTAAAGGTGATTTCAAATCTGAAAGTTCATAAAAAGTTAGATGGAGTAGGGAAACATTTGCTTTATACTCTTATACAAGTCTTGGAGCTGAACCGAACTGATCAATATCTGATATCTTGTGTACAGCATATTTAGATGAAAAAATTTTCTACTACTACATGTAATAATAACAGAAACAGCCACAGAAAAAATAATGAGCAATACAAAAAGTAGCATTGACAATGAATTCGAAATATCATCCACTCACATTCCAGTTGTGGTCCACATGGACTCATCAACAAGATCTAAAGCAGCATGTGCAATAAACTGGTTGAGATGTCTGTGATCATCTCTCTGAAGAATCAAAGCGTTAATTTTTACTGACAATAGTTATATGAATCCCTGGAACTTCAGCCTCAAATGAGCAGTGAATAAGATAACAGGTACGTGATTCTACAAGTTTAAAAACAATCCAGGCATCAATATTAAGTCTAGTATTTCTTATGCCATCATGTACCACGGGCACTAATGTTTACCTTGTAACTGTGGTCACGGGTTTGCGAGGAATCCATAGATTTCATCTGCGGACTAAACTCCGTTTCAAAGACTGGATTGTCGCGAGGACCAACGATAGCAAAGTAATAATTTCCTAGCATTGTAATGCTGAAAGTCGAGCAATCCCACGACTAATTCTAAATCTAAATCATTGACTCAGTTTGTCCTACGGCCATCATTTCCTGGAGACAAATTTCTACCAGGCGTTAATTAACTGGACTGCAAAGACTGGGGAAAGCAATGACGTCATCTTACTCGTATCCAGGGTCTTCGCGTTGAAATCCAAGATGGCTACCAGTTCCATCCCAAACATCATTGCGGGGCGAATTTTTCCGCCAATGGCCTTCCCAGGAAAGAACAGTGTGGCGCGCAGAGAAATTTGTGCAAACTTCTTCAAGTTCAATTTGCAGATTTTGGACAAATTATGGCTTAAAAGTTCTTCAGCAAGCAAGGAAATCAACGTTTTGGAACGAGGTAACGACCTTGCAGGTAAAAGGAGTAGTTTCTTGGGGAAATTGGGAAAGATTGTCAAGTTTCAGGGCCCCTTATGGAAAGACGTCCAGTTTCCTAGCACTCGTAAACATAAAATCCCGCTGTACATGCATTCAATTAAGGTTGCTAAAGCAATAGCGGTGCAATGTTGGCTTCTTTGATCTAATTTACTATTTTACTTTATTTGTATATTGTCCCCCTTTTATCTCTGATTAAGAAAAAAATCTCTGTGTTATTTCTTGGCGAAAATATATAAGCTGAAGCTTATTAACGAATGTAGCTAAAGCTTGTAGTTCAATACGACCACAAACACAGTTGGAAAGGACTGAAGACTCCGTAGAAAACGTTTGTCGAACATAAAAAAAGGGCTTTTATTTAGCAAACATCCGTCGTCTTTCTTGCCTGGATCTTTTTGTTGCTGTTTCTCTTTGGTTGTAATTAATTAATATCGAAGCCTTGTAGGTGTTCCCGGAAAAGCGTAAAAATGATATTTCCATGGCAGAAACTACAGACTGACAGCACGACCTATCCAAACAATGTTCTGTTTTACAGTCCCCTGTATGTCAGTGCTCATGAATTGTCACATTATTACCAGCATAATTTATGTAATGGGAAAAAGGTTCAGGTTTTTTTCTGTCAGTTATTGCGGAAGTGTACAAGTACTTGACCAAATTAAGAGAATCTACGAATCCATATACATGTAACTACAGGCACTGTAAATTCATCCTTTCGATCATGAGTGCCCTTTGTGTACATGTACGTAATAATCAACTGTTAGATCATAATTAAGATATGTGATAGTAAACTGGGTACATGTAGAAAAGCAACACACCATATATGTGCATTCATACATGCTAATTGTGAATATGTACGTTTATAACACCAATGTCACACAAAGCCCTTTTTTCTGGTCAGCACGAATGCAAACTCTGGTCAGTTTTTACTTCAGAATCTGTGATAATAACCTCTTACTAACTGAGTGCAAGAGCCGTACTGGGAACATTGGCCTGAGGTCAATATTCCCCAGTACAGCTTGAGCCAGCGAGGTTAGCGAGTATTTTACTATATGGTGCTCGTTCCATACTTGCTTTGAATTTTGAATTTGAAATACACAGCTTATGACCATTTCTATAGAAATGGACTATATGGAAAAATCCCATCCAAGAAAGAAACAATCAGACTGCGTGGATTTACCTAATAAAAAGTTGTAATTCAGTTCAAATCTGATTGGCCTGCAATGATTGAAAATGTCCACTCTGTACATGTTTTCAAAATGGGAATAGCATACAGGCTGCATTCTTGGTGCTGACCATCTGGGGTCTTTTTCTCTCAAGTGGGAAGGAATACGAATATATTCATACAATCATGTACAGTAAGTGCGTGATATAGTCATCTGTTTGCTAAGCATTTATTATTAACCTCTTTCACCGATCAAGTATTCATAACTTTTGCAACTAAAAGGATTTAGGAAGTCTTTGGTTTAACAATGGCTGGAAGAATCCCACCAGACGAGGCAAGTCGATCTTCACAAGCATTTCATGGACCATTTTCAGAGCCAAGGTCACAACGGCGGGCACCACGGCAATATCCTGCTAGTCTGGATACTGATTTAAGCCTGGTTACAGAGTTACGCAGGTCTGAAGAGCAAGCTGCTGGACAAAGATCCTTGCCTAATAATCTGGTAACAAGTGTTTTCTTGTGTATATTAGAGACGTAGAAAGAAATTATGATGCCTTGTGTACAGTGTATGTGCTTTGTGCTTTATATTTTAGAAGAGAAGCCTTGTACTCCAACAAGATACAATACAGCATGTACAAATTAGCCAAAAACCCATACGATGCTTTATACTCTGACAGAATATAAGTACCATAAATGTTAAAAAGCTCTTTAAACTGTCAAATAAATTGTTAACTAGACATTTTAGGGTATCCCTTCCTCAGCATTACAACACACTGAAGAAGGGCTAAGCTTGAAATTTATAGTTTACATGATTTATTTGACATTTGTAAGAGTTTTTTTGGCCTTATGTACATGTACAGTACATGAAGTTGCCTACCTTTAGGTTTGTTGTAACTTGATCAATGATGTCTTTTTTCCTAATAATCTGCCTACATGTACTCGATAATGTACTTGTTGATATAACAGTATTGTTGGAAATGATTGTAGAAAAGTGTATTTGATGTTGATTACCATCAGAGGATAATAGGGATGGTCATCAAGAGGGACTGCTCAGCAGAGTCCAAGTGGTGCAAATAAGAAAAAAGGAAAGCACTTTGAACAAGTGAAGCTGCCAGCAAAGAGCAGCATGGATTCACCTCCTTCTGATGCTGTTGGTTTTACCAGGAAACGTCAACAAACACCTCAAACTGTTCCTAGGACACGACTTCCAGCTGGTACCCCTATGGCTGAAAGGCTAGCAATGGAAAGTTTGAGGCAGCAGTTGTCTTTTGAAGAAGAGGCTGAGGTATGTTTAAAAGTGCTTATGGAAAGTCTGAGCAAAATGAGGTGTATATTGCTTATAAAACTTTTCTCATTGCAGCAACCAAACAACATTAGTGATTATCAGTTGTTAGGATGTGCAGTAAAGTACAAATCTGTTGTTGTTTAATCTATACACAGCCTGTTGACCAGAGTTCCAGAAGCAGAGTCCCACGAACTTCACAAAATCCATCCTCTAGTACTGCAAACAATGAGCGAACCCTACCTACACAAGCAAGAACTTCAGCATCTGCTAGTTTACCAGTGTTGGAGATGAATGAAACAGAAACAACAAGAGTTTCCACAGAAGGTGCCACTAATTCAACAAGCTCTAAGGTACAGAAAATTAAACGTGTCAGAAAATACAATAATGTGCAATAATGTAATAAATTATGTTCATACATTGATCAACAAGCATGTTTGTGTAAAGTGTAATGAATATACATGTAGATCTGATACTTATACCTAGTTTTACCTTTTTGGTACACTTCGGCATGGCACGATGGCATGGTACGATTAGGTATTTACTGTACCCAAATTTGGCCAGGTAACCATGATATCGTGGTCATATCAGGTCAGTGACTTGATATCGCAGGATATCAGGGCAGTAGACACGTCCCCCAATTGGCCAATTGCAAATTGGGGTACAGTAAGTATTACATATACTGTTAATATTTTTACTAACCCAGCATTGTCTATATTTAGTTATCTATTTTGTATGCAAATTTAATTCACATAATATTATAAACATCTCCTAACATGATATAATGGTTACAAAATAGTATACTTTTGTTTATTTTTACCATGTTATACATACTTTTTTTATCCTACGTGTTACTACTGGACTACAGAACCTACATGTACAAATTGCATGCATGTTGACAAGTCTGATCTTTTCTTTTTGTTTTTGAAGGCCAACACACCGTTGATAATTGCAAGACTAAACCAAGTTAGGGTAAGACACGTGCAGTCATGTCAAAAATGTTTTGTCATCTTCTCCTGACAATGATTTTGTTAAAAAAGCAACATTGTACCCCCTAAGTGAGAAGACACTAGCTGTAATATCCATGTGTCCTTGAGTCTGAGAACAAACCTCCAATTATCTCTTAAAAGTATTTCATGGATGAACATACATGTATGAACAAGGGGAGCAATTGACAAGTTCATTGTGCTGTCAGATGTCAAGGCTAAAAGATTTGAGCTTTTTCGGTTTCTTCCAGTCTCTAGTCTGACTAAACAGCCTGTTCACTTATCCTGCCTTACAACAAATGCATCTCTGGCCTTCACTGTTATCATTCCTGCTACAAGCTACTGTACAAAACAAATCAATAGGGCTGGTGTACCTACATACATTACAGTTACATGTACAGCTGTAGCTTTTTGCATAGTGCTCATTGTTGTTTTTCTGTTTTTCTTTTTCTTTCTTTCTTTTTTTTTGTTATTGTTTGTTTGTTTATTTTATGATCAAGGGTTTTCTTAAGCAAGCTACGGCTATGTTTATAACATTGCAAACAACGAGTGTCAGTGAACAGCGGGTAAGTTACTGTATGACTCTATAACACTGATTAATGTTATGTTATTGTATGTGTACAGTACATCTGTTCTCTTTCTGTTAGTGTGTATAACAGGAATTTTGAATAGATAAGGTCTGCAATGGACCAATGTGTCCCATCTTCCTGAGCTCAACCTGGCTTGTGAAGAACTCAGTGACAATACTAGGAATTTTTCTACTTCCCATAGAATGCTATTCTATTGTAGTGTTACCCCCAGCATTTAATTCACCAGTACTCATTTCTGGAGGTGCGGTGGTCTTATGATTAGTGTGTTCAACACCAGATCGAATATTCCTTGTTGCTTCATGCTACAGAAACCGGAATAAGCTCTGGCTTGGCTGGTAAACAGACTTTTTACCCTTTACTTTTACCTACTCATTTAGACACCTGTGTGGAGAGAGGTAATGTGAAAGCAAGGAACATACATTGTACATGTACATGTAATACATTTCCTGTTATTTTTCACACAGTCTAGTGAACTGAATGAACAGTCAACTAAGATTGCAAGATTAATCAGACAGTTAAAACAACAGGAAAGGGCTTATGTGGAACTTCTTGAGCGATCAGTGGTGAGTTGCACCCAGGCATTATAACCTAACCATGTATGTCATCCAAATCACTTCAGTTTCATCCACATATATCTTTTGGAGGACTGATGACACTGTGGCTCTAATAGTATAGGCAAGTTTGAATACTGCAGTATTAGTTGTATCCCAGATACATGTAGTGAGAGCTCTTGGTACTAAGTTGGATAGAATTACATGGATTACATAACATGTTGCAATGAAAGATGCAAAATACCTTTAAGGTTTCACTTTGCATGTTTTCATAGTCATCTACATGCAGCTCACTGTAGCTTTGTCATGTTTTACATCAAGTGATTTTTTTTATATTCTTTGTTATTTTTCAAGGCAGTGGAACATGATTCAACATTAGATAACACACCTTCCCTGAGTCTGCAGTCTTTGACAGAGGAAGAGAAGGTAGATGCCATTGATAGAAACACTACAATTTATTTACAGAAAACATTACAATCTTAAAATAACAATTAAATTTCAGCGACATTCGCATAAATCATTTTGTCTAGAGCTATAATTTGAACTATAGCAGACACGTTGTTGTTTTCTCTTTTTTGATAGAGTGAATCAGCATCTATACGAGATGAAGAACTTCAAGGACTACGTCAACAGCATGCCTTATTGAAAAAGATGTTAGAGCAACAACAGCAGGTACAGAACCCAAGAATACATAAATTTCAGTCAATGTTCTTGTGAGCTAACTGCTTAATTTATGCCAAAATATTCACTTTACTGGTTCTCTCTATTAAACAAGACTATGGCCTCTCAAGGCAAGACTATTTCCCCTCAAATGTGACCTTCCACGGGAAAATGTGCATTAACGCTTTTCCATTTATTGGTTCAAAGCATTAATTTTGTTAGTCGTTTGTTTACTCTTAAA